GGGCCGTCCCTCGGGGTGACAGCTGGATCACCACATGCAGAAGAAACAGGAGCTCACAGCTAAAGCAGAGGTCTGGAAGAAGACATGCTGAAGGTGTCATTAAGAGCCTTTGTTTCCCCACCTCCAACGCAGCCTCTGGTATGACCTGGAGAAGGTTACTTCAGTTTTCTGTGGCTTTGTCTTTTCCACTCCCCATCAACAGGGACAGCGTGGGCCTTCCCACCCACTGAGATGCCGCAAAGATAAATTCCCAGTTATTTCTAAGGCTGTTGAAAATGCACCAGAGAAGCACAAGAGAAATACTGAACAGTTTCAGTAACAAATCAACTATTTTAAAGCTTCCCGGAGGAAACAATTATTTGGAGCCAGGTTATGTTTATGAGGGGAGACGCAGACTGTAGGATGGTAATAACTTTGTCTGCAGAGCTGAACCCAGGATCATAAATCGCTTGGAAACAGCCGTTACAGGGCCATTTCTGCCATCCTGCGCAGGCGGCTCATGGAGGTGGAGGAAAGTCATTTGTGCAAGACTGCTGTCCTGTCCCACCCGCAGGGAGCCCCACATTGCCCTGCGGCACCCAGGGACAGGAGCACGAGGTGGGAAACTCAGCGCTGTCACCCCTAGGGTGCCAGGCTTCCGCTTCTGGCTCCCATCGGCCTTGTCCAAGAGGGCTTTGCTGCCCGAGTTTTCCTCCCCAGGAAAATTCTGCTACTCTCAAACCTGGCCCCTGATCTCCTCAATATGAGGATGCTTTAAACTTGGGTTTAAAGATGAACATTTTGTACTTTCTAAATATGGGTAGCACATTGGCCCTTCTTAAGGGAGGACCTGCCTGATGGGCACAGCCAGTGCAGAAGCAAATCCAGCTGTGTGCCAGCTGCAGCCAGCAGTTCTGCCCAGCCCAGCCCCAGCCTTGCGAACAGCATCCCCAGCTGCCATTGACCTGTAAGGAGGGACATGCACCACCACTGCCAGCTCTCCAACCCGTCCTTCTCCCACCCCTAGCTGCTGCTGA